GAGATCATGTCATAACACATATGTTTCCAAAGGAGCAACAATTGCTCCTGAGATCATGTCATAACACAGAGGTTTCCAAAGGAGCAACCATTGCTCCTGAGATCATGTCACAACACATAAGTTTCCAAAGGAGCAACAATTGCTCCTGAGATCATGTCATAACACATAAGTTTCCAAAGGAGTAGCAATTGCTCCTGAGATCATGTCATAACACAGAGGGTTCCAAAGGAGCAGCAATTGCTCCTGATAACATGATAGGTCAATAACAGCTCGTGTGAAACCAACCATTTCACACCTCAATGGAATTCAGCGATACTTGTTTGGGCGGCAAGCTGTCCAAAATGTTTATCAACATAGATTTGTTCAACATCACTCTAACATGGGAGGGTTTGCACATGTCAATGATGGTTGAACGGTAGGAGCATGATTGTTGTTTCAGGAGCATGTAATGCTCCTACATACCATGAATCACTTACTAATTTGTAGCAGAGAATGAACAATAAATGGCATGTGCAAGAGTGTTGCATACTCTGTTTTTTAAACCAAAGTATGATACATCCAAACCGATGTTTGGAGGCCATAGGAAGTAAACCAGGTGGACAGTCAGAAACCTTATGGGGGAACCAATGTGCATCCAAGCAACTTGGTACCGTATCCCATTTGCGCACTGGATGTCGACTTCATTGAGGAGGTATGGGATCTAGTACGCGACAATGCCCACTGTTTGCATGACTTATCCTGAGACCATTCTTGAAGCAATTTGGCCTTCATCTCACTCTTCCGGGACAGGCTATTGTAGGCCTTCAGGAAGTCAGCTTTGTTCTGCAGCTCCTCCACTTGGGCTTGCGGGAGGACATACTCGCCACTTTGATGAGCATCAAGTCGTTTTTGAGCATTGTTCAACTGAGTCTTCATGTTGGATTGCATCTTTCTTGTTTGAGTATCATCCACCGCATCTTCATCAGCCCTGCCCTTAGTAGAGCGCCTCCGCATGACCGTCTTGGTCTCATCATCTTTGATCACATTCTTTTTGGGAGACATTGCTCTACAAAAGAAAACTTACTACAAATACCGCGCCTGTTCAAGATTGAACTTGAGCACAAACAAGCTTAGGTATAAGGAAATTTTCATGAACCAAGTGTTTCATTTAGACAAGGCCATTCCATATTGGAAGCAAAGGAGATGATATGACTCACAACTCCTACACGATTCAACCCACAACCCACAGACAATCAACTGTCACACCAGCACACAAGGGTTCCCAGGGATGTTAAATTGATGTTAAATTTTAACATCCATTTAACAACATTTAACATCAATTGTCATTTACTTTCAAAGGTAATTGGATGTTAAATGATGTTAAATGGATGTTAAAATTTAACATCAATTTAACAACCATTCTCCTAGTTGATACCCATACTATTTTGTTTGGTGGAGTTCCCTACCAACACGGGAGCAACTTGATCCTTTTATTATTTGACCTAGTAATCAATATTTGTTGATGATCACACCCATCAAGTATCCCAGGAGCAAACTGCTCCTTCTGTTGATAATCACACCCATCAAGTAGCCCAGGAGCAAACTGCTCCTTCTGTTGATAATCACACCCATCAAGTCTCCTAGTAGCAAACTGTTCCTTTGGTTCATAATCACAGCCACCAAGTACCCCAGGAGCAAACTGCTCCTTCTGTTGATAATCACAGCCATCAAGTATCCCAGGAGCAAACTGCTCCTTCTGTTGATAATCACACCCATCAAGTATCCCAGGAGCAAACTGCTCTTGCTGTTGATAATCGCCATCAACCAAGGATTATAGGAGCATAATGCTCTTTTTGATTCAACTCAAAACAACATTCATGCCATAACAATGTTTGGTTGTGTCATCCCGAACAATACTTCCGATATCGAAAAAGAATTGTTCCCTCCCACTCTCTTTCTGTGGCAGCCAAATAGGCTTTCTTTTCCTCTCCCGCGATCTCCTTGCTGTGCAGGAAGTCTCCTGGCATCGGTTTACCCCAATCTTGCCTACCACAATGTTGGGACCATGAGATATTATTTCTTTTTTGTATGCACTACATCCATTGAACAATATCCATATTCCAGTCGATCTTTTGCGAATCATATATAATATGTTTATATCCCAACAACATCCATTTGTGATTGAAATGCCCCTTTGAAGTCCAAAGTGTTGGGTTTCATGAAGACTCTCTTACTTATTTTCAACTGCCTCCATCAATAAAACATGAGAGGAGCCATAGTGTTGTATCTTAATGTATCAAGCCATGTCTCGTTGGCAATACAGCCTTCCTTTTTTTTGGTCTACCCCTCTCTCTCTCTCTTTTGCAGGAGCTGGCAGCTCCTTTTTTGGGGGCCAAGTATAACGAATATATTGTTTGTATGCAAGTCCAACATGATATTGCAGGAGCTAGTAGCTCCTTTGAAACAACATCATGACATGTGAACATGTCGTGTACCATGAAACACTCATATTGTAATCAATGTTTTCAATGACATGTCAACCCCTCCCCCAGAACCTTTTTATCTCTATTGCATGCGTGCCACATAGACACCCTTACCAGCGCCTTAAGTCCGCAACCTATTTGGCTCAAAATGGAAGGAGCGTAGTTGGCCTCATCGACCTGCCAGGGAAACAACAAATTTCAAAGCCAAGAATGATGGCAGACAATTACATCCATTCTTGCAAATCTTCTAATATCTCGAATGCACGTATGAAAGCCGGACTGATCCAATAATGTGAAACTAACATAAGATCCTGGTCACTGCTCTCATCAATCACCGGAGCCGCCCCATCTGCAGGAGCTGCTGGAGATGCCTTAGGCATTGCCGGCATTGCCGGCATCTTAGGCGCCACCCCATCATCGGCTGCCTGCATCTTAGGTATCGCCCCAGCCGCCGCCCCCGCGCGCGCCCCATCCATCGCCCCATGCGCCGCCCCATCCCCATCCACAGGAGCGGATGGCACTTTAGGCATTGCCGTGCCCTTAGGCACAGGTGGCGCGATCGGCGCTGTCGGCGCCTTAGGCACCACTGCTGGCGCAGGGGCTGGCTGCACCACTTGCGCCGCATCATCGGGCTCCTCGGGCTCGTCGGTGCGAGTTCGCTTCCAGCTTTGCTGCCGGCTTTGCCACCATATGGGGCGCTTTTGCCCTTTGGTGCCCCGCTGCTTGCCCCAGCTTTGCTTACCCCAGCTTTGCAAGCGGACACCAATGTCCGCGGCTGGCTGTGCGTAAATGCTCAGCTCCTTAGACAGCAAAGCAAAAGCCGGTTACATGATAGGAGCCAATGGCATCCTTTGTAAACGGTCGTGCTTGCAAACAAACCCAGAACCAAATATGTTTTCACCCAAGCTAAGAAAAATGTTTCCGACCAAAACGAATTAACACATGTCACAGAAGAAAAGACAGGAGCGGGTCGCTTCCTTTGTCAGCCACACCAATATGGCCAAGTGAACAAACATTTGGTTTGTGGTGAGTAAACAATTAGGGGGGTCGCGTTAACTAAACGTATGCAATCCAAGGAGCGCACATCGGGTTCAAACAGCAGCCCTGTCGGATGTAGCTCTCTTGGCCACACCATAAGCAAACCCTAGTCCAAGCGGACACTCCTGGCCACATACGCATGGCGGTGGGTCGCCACGAGGAGGGAAATATCGGTGGTGGCGGGGGCATCACGTATGCCGCCTGCGGCATCGGCTGAGGCGGAGGCTGCGGCATCGGCTGAGGCGGAGGCTGCGGCATTGGCTGCGGCGGAGGCTGCTGCATCGGCAGCGGCACAGGCTGCGGGGTCTGCGGCTGCTGCGCCGGCTGCGGCTGCTGCGGACTCAGCTGCCCTGCCCGCCGGGCTGCCTCGAGTATGCGCAGCGCAACCTCCACGCCCTCATTGGTCGCGCTCGATCGGGAGCTCGACGGTGCATTACCCATGGCTATACTAATAGCCCTTAGCTTACACCTAGCTCGAGCTCTACGTGACTGCCTGCATGCATGCTCATCAGACCCCCTTGGCGCGCAGTACGGCACCAAAGCTTGATTCACGTTGATAATACTTGCTGACGTGATCATGCTAGGAGCCCAAGGCTTCCTGAACTTCAAAGTGTCCAAAGATCTACCCTGCAAAGAATTCAAACACAATGAAGATGTGCAAGCAGATGCATGTAGGGGCCCAAGGCTTCCTGGACTTCAAAGTAGATCTACCCTGCAAAGAATTCAATCACAATGAAGATGTGCAAGCAGATGCATGTAGGAGCCCAAGGCTTCCTGGACTTCAAAGTGTCCAAAGGTCTACCCTGCAAAGAATTCAAACACAATCAAGATTTGCAAGCAGACACATGTAGGAGCCAGGGGCTTCCTGAAGTAGACATGTTTTGACTCAAGAAAACGAAAATCAAGGCCTATGTGGACAACAGACACGGCATAGCACTGGCCTGACACCCCCTCGACACTAACCGGGGGTCTCCTGTCTCGAGTCGCCCTCGAGCGGGTCACTCTAGTCCACGTCCTAGCGTTGGCAGGAGAGCGGATCGAGTCGTAGCGAGTAACAAACACAATTTGGGTTCGGACATATGTTTTTTTCAGTCTGTCCTGAGGACTATGGGCATGCCCGCGGTTCACCGCGAGCTCTCGAATGGTCAGGCTTTTGTCCTTGACCTCCTCGAAGGACATGCTAGGCAAGTCCAGCTTCATGAGCTCAGCACGCACGACGGCTATGAGGTCCTGGTGGTTTGCCCGCCGTGCCTTGCTGATTCCGCACAGGAGACGCTTTGTGCCAGTGGCGGGGTCCTTGAACTGCAAGTACGACTGGTCTGTCGCCTGAGTGATGTAAACCGAGCATGCGTCCTCGGCAACAGCCGGCTTTTTCATTCCGGCCGGCTTTTTCATTGCTGCCGGCTTTTTCGTTGTGGCGGCAGGGCGCTTTTTTGGGTTGTCGATCTGCTTCGGTACCTCTGAGGGGTACTCTGCCCCATCTCCAAACCTGCCCCAGAGTTACGGAGATCCAGGTTTGTCGCCCAACGAGGATTTCCCTGCCTTGTCATCAGAAGACCCCGGCTTCTCACTGGTCTGAGTCAACAAATCCACCACCAAGTGCACCGACTCCCTTTCTGCCAGCTCCTGCCAGAAATCCTGCAAGCTCTCCTCGGTGGGTTCTTTCTCATACTTCCGGGGCAGCTTTGCTGCCTTGTCTGGGAGTTCCTCGGTAGAAGTCAGCGCTCGGTATGGGCTTCCAGAGGCAGTCTCCAAAATCTCCTGGATCGCTGGCAGCTGGCGCTTCTGCGTGCTAACGTTACGGCGCTTCGTGTTTACGAAGCTGATCATGTCCAGCAGACTTTGCACCCCTTGTCTTAAAAAAGCTTCTTCTGGTGGAGGTGGTTGAACTTTTGAAGGGGCTGCTCCAAATCCTTTGGATACCAACGCCGCTGGACGCTGAGCAAGCCCTGCAGCAAACTCTTGTGGATCTCCACGCCTTCCTGAGTGGGCTTGCCAACTGGAAAGAGTGGGTCGGTGCCCTGGATGGCAAGAGCCAAAGCCTCTGGGGCGACGCGCTCGCACAGGAGAACATAGACGTTGTGCTGGTCTGACATGCCCCTATATGGAAAACCCTAAGTGGGGGGACACAGCGACAGCTCAAACCGAAAGCCAGCTTGACGACTCATGGCCAGCGAATCTCCTGGGACTCCAAAACAAATACCTTATGGGCCTTGCGAGCACGCGTTCTTAGGAGCCTGCGGCTTCCTACTTTTTTTGCTTATGCTGTTAGAGGAGCCCGAAGCATACTACTCAATTGCGCCAGCACAAGATGTGCCCGATATGGAAATGGCAAGACATGCCATGCAACGAAATGTGCTGTTGGAGGAGCCGGAAGCATCCTACTCAATTGTGCCAACACAAGATGTGCCCGATATGGAAATGGCAAGACATACCATGCAACAAAATGTTCTGTTGGAGGAGCCCGAGGCATCCTAATCAACTGTGCTAACACAAGATGTGCCCGATATGGAAGTGGCAGGACAAGCCATGCGACAATTCAACGAATATACTACAAACATGCGCAGCTGACACCCGTCGGTTGACACGGATCCACGTCAACCCGAATCCTCGTCAAGCGTTTTTTAGACGAATCCTCGTCAACTCGAATCAGCGCTGAAAAAAACGAATCCTCGCCATCGAATCCTCGCCGGAAGGACTGGGTCTGGAGATGCCAGGTATTTGGTGGTCAATGATTATTCTGGTTACAAATTGGTGATGGACTATGCTAGTCATGGATATTCGTTTTCTGCAGACTGTTCTGGATCTGTGCAATTACCCTGAGCATCGCTTTTTGATTAGAATCAAAAGGATGACCATGATTTTTTTTGATTTTCAATAAAGTAGGGAAAATGAAAAGAGATTAGATTTACAAGTGTTGTGAATGTGCTTTTGGTGTGTGTAAACTAGTGTTTTGTTAAATGCTTTCTTTTGATTTTCTTTTGATTTTTTTGTGTTCTCAAAGTGGTGAACATGAATGCATTCACTGTCAGTTTTTGGCTCAAGAAATATAATCTATATATATATATAGAGCTAGATAAAGAGGCTTTGGAAAAGGCCAGAAGGCCCATGGCAGAAGAAGAAGAGACAGAGTCAGGCTTTGGAAAAGGCCACAGGAAAGGTGGTGCCAGACACTTTTCCAAACCCTATGTGGACAGTGGCTTATTGTTCACTGTTTTGGAGCAAAATCAACAGATTTTGCAAGATTTACTAGCAAATGCAACTCTCCAGACCCCAAAGGTCTGGTACAAACCCTTCCCTTGTGGAAAGGGCTGCTGAGGTTGGAAAGCTCTGGTGAAATCCATACCCAGCCACTTCGAACAGCCCTGATCACATTGTTGGCCCAGGCCTCAACACAACTTCCAATTCAGGGCAGGTCTGGGCCAACCTTAGAATGGAAAGGATTAGCACAATCCTGTACCATGTGAGAAAAGTGGGAAGGGAGGGCCTGCTTTCATGTGCAGCCAGGCTGACAAGGCAGGAATATGAAAACCTGCAAAATGGCTTGCAACTGTTGGATGGGAATACTTTGCGAAAGGTAAATGCTTTGGAAAAGGCACAGGCTTTGGAAAAGGAACAGGCTTTGGAAAAGGCGCAGGCTTTGGAAGAAGCACAGGCTTTGGAAAAGGCACAGGCTTTGGAAAAGGCACAGGCTAAGAGAAAGCTTAAACAACGTGGCAGTGAAGTGAGCATGGACAGCCAAGGGTACCCAAACATGTTTGGGAGCCCAGCACCCACAGACAGAGAAACAAAGCCAGTCGCAGCCATGGCCATGGACAGGAGAAGGCCTGGTAGTAAAACAGCACCTTTGGAAAAGGGTGACTTGCACCAGGCTTTGGGGTTTGGCGCACAGGCTTACAAGAGGCCTGCTGCTTTGGGAAAGGCTAAGAAGCCGGCTGCTGCTTTGGGAGAGGCAAAAAAATCTGCTACTTTGGAAAAGGCGCAAAGAGTTGTGAAGCAGGTGAACAGGAAGCCTTGGGTGAAAATCTTGAGGACTGAAGCCAAGAAGTCAAACCCTAGGGCTTATTTGAGAGGGACCAAGGAGGAAGGTGGCACCTTGCACCTCATTGCTGAAGTCACAGCCAAGAGGTGTCCAGAGGGCTATTTGGAAATCATAGATCAGATTTGGACACCTTTGGAAAAGGATCATCTGACAAAGGAAGAAGCTGTGAACCTCAGAGAAGAGTTGTGCAAAAAATGGGGCTGCTAGATCACAAGAAGCATTTGGGAAAGTGCATGCTGTGTGAGAAAAGCTTGGCTTTGGAAAATGCCATGAGAGGCTTTGGAAAAGGCCATGAGAGGCTTTGGAAAAGGCCATGAGAGGCTTTTGGAAAAGGCCATAGATAGCTATGTTTCTACCCTGAAGCAATCCCAACATGGGAGTTGCCAGAGAGGGACAATTTTGATGGTAAAACAAATGGCTGCCTGAGCTTTGGGAGGTTTTCGACTAATTTAGAGATGTATCACAAATATATCACTTTACAACACTTTTGTAAAACAAACAAATGGTTGTCAAACAGTGAAGTTGTGAGCTTGTTGGTATGACTGCTTGTTTCCCTGCAGCTTTTCAGCATGAGTATGGCCACACACGCACATGTGCAAACACACGCAACACTTCACAGCATCACACAGCATCAGATGGTAGGGAACATGGCAGCAACAGACGCACAAGTTACAACACAGCAATGTTTAGGTTGGATACATATATAAGTCGTAAGTTCTCTCACAAGTCATTTCCCACCTGTAGCTGTAGCTTGTTGATGGTTTAGAGTGCAGCCAAGTTTGGGAAAGCTTGTGCTGCTGCTAGGTTTGGGAAAGCCTAGCCTGGTCTGGGAAAGCCCAGTCAGGATTTGGAAAAATCCAATCTGGTTTTGGAAAAAGCCAGCCCATGTCGCACCAAAACAAATGGGGCTATTGGGGTCAGAACTGCAGGGGCTGGCGGGAGGGGTCTGGCACAACCCACGCCAACAGGAGAGCTGCAGTGGAGTTTCCTGGCTGAGAATGAGCCAGACCCAGCTCAGAAAAGTGTTTGGAAAAGCACTTGGAAAGCCTGAGGACTGCAGAGAAGGCAGAGAGGAAGCTGGAGGAGGCAAGGGAGAAGTCTTTGGAAAAGGACAGGGACCCTTCTTCCTCTTCCTCCTTCTCAGTGAGCAAACCTTCAGCGGCCAAAAGGAAGCACAGCAAGATGCCTTTGGAAAAGGGCAAAGCTGATGCTGAAGATGAACCTTTGGAAAAGGGTGACATGGAAGTTAGGAGGACCAGGAGGGGCAAAAATGGAGAAAAAGAAAAGCTTCTGGAGACGAAGGAGGATCAGCCTTTGGAAAAGGACATTCCAAGCAAGAAGGATACCAACAAGTCTTTGAAAAAGGACAAGTCCAGCAACAAGGTGAACAAGGAGGAGGTCCAGGGCAAGCTTTTGGAAAAAGCAGAGGATGGCCAGGGCAAGCCTTTGGAAAAGGACAAGCCCAGCAAGGAGGTGAAGAAGGAGGATGGCCAGGGCAAGTCTTTGGAAAAGGGCAAGTCCAGCAAGGAGGCGAACAAGGAGGAGGACCGGGGCAAGTCTTTGGAAAAGGACAAGAAGTCTTTGGAAAAGGACTTATTGGCCAGCTCTCCCTCTGTGGAAAAGAGAGCAGGCAAAGCTCAGGCCAGCCCACACACAAGCCAGTGGTGGTGGTGGACTGGCATGAGACTCTGGAAATTGATGGAGAAGTTCCAGAAGAATATGAAGAAGCCCTGCAAAAGCTGCTGGAGGTGGCCCATGTCACACATCCTTTTTTTTATGTGGAGCAGGGAAAGGAAGCTCCACCAGCATGCCAAAGCCCTTAAATGCTTTGGCAAGCTGGCAGGGGTGCGCACTTGCTGGAGCAAGTGGGGGAGGGATGGCAAAGCTGACTGGTGTAACCACTTGAAGGCTAGTGCCATCTTTGACAATCACTCTGGGGTGCTCATGGATTGTTTGAGAGATCGCATGATGTGTTTTGCAATCCAAACCCCAAAGCAAGACCACAGAAAGCTGAATGCAAGCATGGTCTTCAAGACCTTTGCAGAAGCTGTGGATCAATACCTTGAGCTTTGAGGTATGGATGGCAAAACAGCTTTGGAAAAGGCATCACCAGTCAGCACACCCCTTTGCTTTGGAAAAGGCAACCCCAGCTTTGGAAAAGGCAAGGCTCACGCATTGCTAAAGCCTTTGGAAAAGGGCTAGAAAAGCTTTTGAAAACAGCCTTTGGGAAAGGGCTAGGAAAGCTTTTGAAAACAGCCTTTGGGAAAGGGCTAGGAAAGCTTTTGGAAAACAGCCTTTGGGAAAGGGCTTAGAAGCAGCTTCACTTGTTTCACCAGTTTTTGGGAAAGAATTTGTACAGCAGTTTCACTTCATCATTTTTCAGTGCACAATCTTTGGAAACGGATTGGCGCAGCCTTTGAAAAAGGGCTTTAGGTTCATGCCATTGTGGCTGTACAGTTGGGGGGCTGGAAGAAACTAATAAGTAAACCATACCCTGTAGCAAACTAGATTAGAAACATTATCATATTCAGTTAATTCCAGTTTGCTTTGTTCACTTTATCCGGCCCCCTTGTGCATGTCAGAACACAAGAATTAAATCAAACAAAGAGTGGCTAAACATAAGTAGTCTAAATAAACGAATATAGATAAAACAAATTAAACAAAAACAAGTATATACACATATACTTATTTACATATTTTCTATAAACAATGTTTTAAACATATTTATACTTGAAAAATACAAAACCAAGCGAACTCAAACTTTGGAAAAGGCTTGGGCAAAGGAATTGAAACACACCCAAAACAATTCTTGAAACATTTCAAAATTTGAGCTGCCTGTTCAAAGATATTTGGAAAGTTTTTTCCAACACATATGTGAGGTTGAAAGCTCAACATATTGTCAAAGTGTGTGCCCCACATTCTTTCAAAATTTGGATATGAATGTTCAAAATAGTTTAAATTTTTACATTTGCTCTTTCAAAATTAAATCAACCAAGAAGATTTGTTGGTAGTTCACCTAAAACATGTTCAACATTGAACTCATTTTCAAAACTT